TGCGCGTTAACCAAAAGCCGAATTCTTCTGTCTCTCATTCCCCCTCAGCAGCCACTGGCATGTACATTGAGCACTATCTGACAAGAAAGCGTTGCTACGTTATACTCACTGGGCGTAACCTCCTCGGTTTTAGAAAGGTTTAGCGAGCGTTAGGCCAAAGTGCCATGAATACAGTGAAATAGTATATACCATGAACTCAAGGTGGTTAAAGGTGGCAAGTAGACACGAAGCGCAAGCCATAAGAGAGTGTGCGTGTGCCTCCTCTCGTTCAGTCCTTGAAATGTCCGCTGGATGGCGGTGCTTCTATATGAGGAATATATGATGAAAAGATGCGAGATGGTGGTACTTGGAGTGTTGAATAGGTGGATGAACGGACACCCAGACAGATGCATGGACGGACGCATGGATGGCTGCACAGACGGATGGACGCATGGACGAGCGCAGGAGCGAGTGCATGGACGAACGCAGGACCGGACGCACAGATGGACGTGCGGACGCACGAACAGACGCACGCACGGACGGGCGGATGGACGCACGGGTGGCCACACAGACGCACGCATACATGGACGGAAGCAAGAACGAATGGACGGACGGATGCTTCGCCCCACTCTCCATCATTCACTCCGTAAATATGCTGCCATTTTTTCTTGTTTTTTAGAGCAAGTCAAGCACTTGACCCCACGGTCAAGGTTTGGCGGAAGCCCGAAAAGAATCATACAAACTAGTCACAAGTTTTACTCGTGTTTTAGAAAAACAAGCGAAAAACGGGTGGTCGACTAACCAAAATAAAGATCAAATTAAAATGTTAGTAATGTTCTCAAAAAGAAGCAAGACGTTACGCGAGCGCGAACGTTTCATTCTCGCACCGAGCGCGAAGCTTCTTACGCAAGCAGATGATAATCGCGTTTGAGGCAAATATGGCAACAGCGCTGACAGCTGGAGCTGAATAATTTAACAGCCACATTTCTTGGTGCGTGCTAGCCTGTGAAAAGTTGCACTCTTTGTTCGTGAATCAGTGATAGGAGTAGTATGTAAGAATGAAAAGATTCCAAGTGAATCGAGAATTTACAGTAACTTGAGAATGCTTCAGTAGACAGGTACTTCGAGCATACGGAGCCAGGGGCGAAACTAAATGCACGTACCTCGTAAACTGTGCGAAATGCCTTCACTTCTTTCTTAAGTCATTCCGTCACTCGTTAGTTGTATGCACTGAAGCGAAATCGCACCAGCTAGAATTCAAATAGGAAAGGCTGAAAAGAGGACTAAACAGAACAGATAATACGTTGTTTTTGCCTGCTTACTACAGTAAGCTTTTTTTTTTCACAATTATTCGACCGAATTTCTGCACATATTGTCCAGCCTGCAAGTATTTTGAGCTAATTGCAGCAGGCGTAAG